GCTTTCGACTCCGTGGGAGTTAAGACTTCCATCTGTATCACCTCTGGTAAAGGGGCACTCCCCGCCCCCACGGCAGGCGGGCAGGCCACCATCCCCCCGTGTCTGCAGCACCTTGGACACAGCATCTTTAATACAGCTCCTGGTGTTGTGGTGACTCCCAACCATAAAATTATTTTTGTTGCTACATCATAACTAATTTTGCTAGTTATGAGTCGTAATGTAAATATCTGTGTTTTCCGATGGTCTTAGGCGACCCACAGGTTGAGAACTGCTGCTGTAGAGCCTAAGACCATCGGAAAACAGTTATTTATATTACGATTCATTAATAGTAACAAAATTACAGTTATGAAGTAGCAACGAAAGTAATTTTATGGTTGGGGATTACCCCAACAGGAGGAACTGCATTAAAGGGTCTCGGCCTTAGGAAGGTTGAGAACTACCGCTCAAAGACCTCCTGTTTCCCTGACCACATGGTTTTAGGATCTCACTTGATGACTTGGTGACAACTCACACCTGCTGACCCAGAAGCCCTTGAGGTCACCTGTGTAAGGGGTGCAGTACCCTTTCTGAACTGGCATTGATCATTTTTTAGGGATCCATGAGCAAGTTGCAAGACATCAGCTGGTGAGATTTAGAACACTGGGTTTTAATAAAAAGTTTTTAAAATTAGTTTTTACTTATCTCTCGGTACCTGAAGGTTTGCCCTCCTGGTTGTGATCAAAATAAGGAAGCAGAAGCATCAATCGGCTCTCTACATGCTCCTGGAAACTATGTTTCCCTCCTAGGTCATTTACCCACACATCTCCCGCTGCCGAAAGTACCACATGAGACCTAGAAGTAGTCTTAAGGAGAGAGGGAAGCCCGGCATGGCCTAAGGGTGGGGCAGTGAGAGGGATTCCAACCTGTCACTCTGCACTCCCCTGGAAGAGAAAACTGGTCACATTGGCCCATTGCTCTGGCAACTAGACATATCCAGGTTCCGGCTGGCTGTGGGCGCTTTGGGCACAGTGATACGTTGCTCCCATTAGTTACAAAGTCAAGATAATCATTTCCTTCTGGATGGATCCCAAGCACTGCCCACATTTTTTATTGTTTGGACTGAGGGCTCTCGTGTATGTGAGCTGGCAGTTGTCTGGGCTGCTCACCAAGGGGAGTGCCGATGCCAGCTTCTTACCCAGGAGCACAGCAGAGGCACCTGGTAGGGAGGGAAATGGGTTTATTCCTGTTGAAAATGGCACTAGGTTTAAAACATAGGGCTATTAGCCCACGAAGTATGATCAGAATCAGAGACATGTTAGTTCTCCCATAACTTGAACTTGCCACTTGGATTTTAGAAATAAACAGTGTATTTCCAGCTGTTACTGGGCAGCACAGTAGAATTGATCGAGGTCAATCATTAACTCAGCTTGGAAAGCTTTGGGGCAAGGTCATTTCTACAGTTATGGGATCACCTGCAGCCTAAAGAAAGGGCTCTTCAGACTTCATTTCCAGTACACAAAGGAACCCCTTACAGTGGGCTGGGCTTGGGGACAGAAGAGAGACATTTGGAGCTTGAAATCGGAGAGTCCCTTTTATCAGTTTATCACATTAGCAGAGACCATCCCCAAATACTCCCCTTATGGTGTAGGACGTCCATTCACACATGCTTGCTGAGCCCTGGGCATTGATGACTTATGCCTGGGAAAGACCAGTGAAAACCCAAACACGCCCAACCCTCATCCTTAGGGGGAAACAGCACACAAAGCACCTTCCCTCTGGGAGGGTGAGAGGGGCAGGTGTGTGATGTGAAGGAACCCACTGAGTATTTCCCCATGCTCTGTGTTTGGTGTTTGGTGGCTCCTGGACGCCAAAAGGAGCAACTGGGCTGGATCCCAGGTGCGTTGTGGACCGGCGGTTACAGGATTCTAGGAGGGGGTGCGGGGCTCCAGTGTGCGAGGTGGCATAGTGAGGGCACTGTGTGTATTGAGACAAAGGTCAGAGTGAGTCAGGTACATGAGCAATTGGGTTTAAGATCAAAGACAATTTGAGCCTGTGGACTCTCCTGGATGCAGGCAGACAGCTGCAGCTGTGGAGAGTGGGGTGCCAAGGTTCTCTCTCGTCCCCTCGCTGATTCCACTTCAGATTAAAAAAAAACAACAAAAAAACAGGTCGGCTTTCCCCAAGGGATTCAAGCACAGAGTGAGCGGCCAGGCCCGTTGCCATGGCTCAGAGGCCCCTGAATGCCCTCTTTGTCTGGCTCCTTACAGCCAGGCATGGCTCAGGGGTCCGGGAGGAAAAGCTGAAACGTGAGCGGCTGAGGTTTTGTGCTTTAGGTTTATTTTGGGATAATGATAAAGGACAAGAATCCCAAGGGATGCTAATAGAGCCGGGCTGTGTTCGATGTCTGAATGGGAGCCCAGAACAGCTCCCAGGGAAGGTTTCCAGGCTGGTGGTGGAGAGGTGAGGAGGGAGAGGAGACACAGAGCTCCAGACAGGACACAGGTCCCAGAGCTCAGCCAGGATGGTGAGGGGAACCCCCAGATGACACCACAGATGGGGCGTGCTGTGTGGGGCATGAGTGGGAGAGGGGGGCTGCTCACCTGGAGTTCCTGATTGGGAGGGAGTGGAGAAAATACGGAGAATACGGTGTTCTTCCCATTGAAGACACTGGGGGTCACTGTTTGGAACAGGGAGTGCAGGATGGCTAACTTCCCAGTGCGCAGCCGTAAGGATCTCTCGGCCATTGCTTCCCTCACAGCCTGCAGTGATGCTCGTTTCCATCACAACTGACGTCTCTGTAAAATTATAGACATCACTACCAATCTGTGTGGCTGATTTCACGTGGTTTGATGTCTACACACTGGCCCCAGACACACAGTCCCTGCCTTTGGTCTTTTGTGGTCTACTTACTACAAACTCACAGGTGCCCTTTTTACACTGAGTGCAGCACGCTCTCCACCCTGTCCTGTGCTCTGGGGTGGGAGGCTTCCATTTTGGGGAACACGTCTAACCCGGGGGTGACCCATCCCAGCTCCGTGGCACTTGGGACCCTCCTGGACCGTGACCCGTGTATCTTCATCTGGCCGGTCACCTCTATCCCTCAAAAAATTGGTAAATGTGTTTCCTTGAATTCTGTGAGTCACTCTTGCAAATTTATTGAATCCAAGGAAGGGGTCGTGGGACTCCCCAGTCTGCTGCCAAATCAGGCAGAAGCTGTGGGTAACCTGGGGACACAAGAGTTAGAATTGGCATCTGAAGTGGGGGCCGTCCTGTGGGACTGAGCCTGTAAGCAGTGGGATCTGGCTCCGTGTGGACAGCGTTAGAACCGAGTTAAAGGGGAGGGCACCCAGCTGCTGTCAGAACTGCTTGTTAAGGGGAAAACCGCCACATGTTTGGTGACCAGAAGTGGCAGGAGTGAAGTGTTCTGTGTGAAAGTTAAGGAGCCACAGAAGACTCAGACAGGTGAGAAGAACGGGGGTTTTTCCTACTCAGGAAACTGGCCTGGCCTTCTGATTCACCTTCAAAAGGGCCAGAGGCCTCGGCCCTCCAACATGCTCTCGCCTGTCTTTTCACGTGTGTATAAAACTCGTGACTGGTAAAAATCTGTGGAAACAAACCTAAAGAGCTTTTCCATTTGAGGTGATAAGAAAGTCTGGGTCACTACCTGATGGGCCTTCCAGTTTTTGTGTTTTTAAAAAAATATATATTTTACCGATTTCTTACAGAGAGGAAGGGAAAGTGATAGAGAGTTAGAAACATCAATGAGAGAGAAACATTGATCAGCTGCCTCCTGCACCCCCCTCCCCCCACTGGGGTTGTGCCCACAATCGAGGTACATGCCCTTGACTGGAATCGAACCAGGGACCCTTCAGTCCACAGGTGGACACTCTATCCACTGAGCCAAACTGGTTTTGTCGGGCCTTCTAGTTTGTTCTCAGCCTGAGAGAGCCAGCCTGCCCAGGGGTAGCTCATCAATGAAGCCCTTGGCTCTGGGTCCACGGCTGGCTCCCCAGTCCCAGGTGAGGTGTGAATTGGGCTTGGGGGCTTCAACCCCCCTAACCCTCAGCTGCCCTCTCTTTTAACTTTTAAAAAATGTTTTGCATGCTTTTATGAGATGGTCACAAGAGGCTCAGGGTGGGTGGGGAGAGTTTATTACATTCATGAGTCTTAGAGCCACATGGGACAGCAGCAGGGGGGACCAGGAGGCAGAAGACAGGAACGAGGGGAAGGTTTAGGCCATTGCCTTTTGGAGTTTCCACAGGAAAGGTAAGGCTGGGCAGGGAGAACAGTCAGGGTTAGCTAGTTGGAACAATTTCGGATCTTTGGGCTGTAGCAGCAGTTCCAAGATGCCTGGCACCTGGCCGCGCGGTGGGAGGACTGTTGCCTCCTGGGTTTGGGGCCAAGTGGAGCGCGTCTGGCTCTGGACTGGTCAGTTTACAGATCACATGCCAGGCCCTTTGCTGCCTCTAAGAAGGGGCTAGCCCGGGATGGGCGGTCTCTCTCCATCCATAAAGGCTTTTTAAGATGTCAAAGCATTGCCCTAACAGGTTTGTCTCAGTGGATGGAGCGCTGGCCTGAGGACTGAAGGGCCCCAGGTTCGATTCCGGTCAAGGGCATGTGCCTGGGTTGCGGACACAACCTCAGTGGGAGGTGTGCAGGAGGCAGCTGATTGTCCCTCTCCCTTCCTCCCAGTTAAAAAAAAAAAAAAAAAAAAAAATATATATATATATATATATATATATATATATATATATATATATTTTTTTTTTTTAACATGTCAGATCATACTACAGTATCCAGAAAATAAAGCAAATACATATAAAATATTAAATACAGCTAGGAGCCCGAAGGAACTCGGGAAAGGCACCCACCACTGAGACTGCACGGGACTCCCCACCGGCGGAGGGCGCCTTGCTTTGGAGTCTGGCCTGTGTTGGCGGCCAGAGGAGGGCGCTGTGCCGTCCACTGCGAAGCCAGGCACACATGGCCCCTGAAATGTCAAGTCAAGTGACACTAAGCACTTAGTTCCTCAGGGTCACTGGCCGTCTCACGACCGTCTCGGGCGGAGGGACCCAATCCACGTCCGTCATTGCAGGTCGCGGCAGGCAGCGCTCCGCGGGCTAACTTCTCCGATGGCCTGAAGGACGCCACCCGCGGTGTTTAGGGTTTGGGTTTGTCAGGCTGTGTCTTCGTGGACAGCTGTGCGTCTTGTTCGCAGGAAAAAGGCATCAGGGGTGCCGCACTTTTCTCATAGGCCGGGGATGCCCTGCTAACCGCCAACGCCACGCCCGGCTCCGGCCGCCAGGGGTCAGGCGCTTCACTCGCTCCGGCCATCTCCAAGAAGGCGGCCGCGCGAGGCCCCGCCTACGTGGGGGTGTGGCCTGGTAGCCGCCAGCCAATGGGAAGGCAGAGCTGGCGGCCAGCCAATGGGAAGGCAGCGCTGGCGGCCAGCCAATGGGAGGGCAGAGCTGGCCAGCCAATGGGAGGGCAGCGCGGGGCGGGCGGACGGAGCTGCCGCCAGCTGCCGGGTCTCAGCATGTCGGGTTCCCGCGCCCTGGCCGCCGCCGCCTCGGACCCGGGGTCCGGGAGCTGCAGGAGGACGTGGGCCGAGCTGCTGGGTAAGTGGGTGTGGGGCGCGCCTCCTTCCCCCCACCTCCCGCCTCCGCCGACCCGACCCGGGGAGGTCAGGGTCCTGCGCGCTCGAGTTGCCTTCAGTACTCTCTGTCTGACCCCTGACCCTCCTGGTGAGCCCGGCCCCGGCCCCTCCCCGTCCTGTGCCCGGGTCCCCGGGTCGCCGCCGCGGTGGCGGGACTGGCGGGTGTGGGAGGGGGTGCGGGCCGCGGAGCGCCGGGGACTGTCCCGTGGCCCTCGCCGGCGGCGGAACGGGGCTTAGGCCCGGGTCCGCGGCCGCGGGGCCACTGACCGGCTGTCCCGTTGTCCGAACCGGGCCGCGCAGCGGGCCGGGCCCAGAGGCAGAAGCCCGGTCCTGAGCGGGGCCGGCGGGTCCTGGCGGCCGCCCTGCAGCTCCTGAGGCGCCATGTGGACCTGAGCCAGCTGCTGCTGGAGGTGAGGAAGGGCTGGGGCTGGAGCCCTCGGTGCTGACGGCGGAGGAGGAAACGGGGTGAGGGTGAGCGTTTATCCCTGGGGATTATGAGGAAGTTCCAGAAGTTTCGCTTCTTCAGACAAAGCGTCTGAGCGCAGGGCGGGAGGCAGGCGGCACCGGCACCGGAGTCGTCTGCCCGCTGCCAGGCCCTGTGCTGGGTTCCAGGTGGACGGCCCTCGACCTGCAGAGCCGGCCCTGAGCGGAGGGATGGACGGGCGGATGGACCGCGGCAGCCCCGGTGCGCTGGTCGGTGAGTCGGTGCTTCCTCCTCCGCAGGCCTCCGGTGACCCCCTCGCTGTGTGCCCCAGAAGCGGGGGTTCGGGCCCACCCGAGAGGGGTTGCTCTCTCTGCATGGAGGAGGGCGAGTCCGATGTTTGTGACTTGCTTGGGGTATGTTCCCCGGAGACCTCTTCTGACCTTCAAAAGGCAAATTTCTGGGCTGCTACAGCTTACAAGAAGGTGTTTTAATCTCTTCAGTCTTCTGATTTAGTTTTTGAGTGTTTCTACTATGTTTTGTGTTTCCTTAAGGCTCTGCTCTGCGGGATCAAGCCTCTCGGCTGGGGGTGCCAGTGGCCGTCCTGTCCAGCCACACAGTGGCCTCCAGCTTTGTGCAGATCTGTGCGGCGCGTGCGGAGCCCTCCCGTGGGGTGTTGCTCGACCCAGAGCAGAGAGTAAGGCACAGCATGATGTGGTCACTGGGCTGCTCGTGTTTTTTAAGCGATTGGGGGAAATGAGGTATTTCTTGATTGCTACAGGTATTTGCCCCCCCCCCTTTTTTTTTTTTTTGCCCATTTTTGAAAAAAGGTTTAACCTCTCTTTTCAGAAGAAACTGTCTTCCTTGTTAGAGATCGCTGGGCATTTACTAGCACACAGTATGTTCTCCCGTCTCACCTTCTGTCAAGAATTGTGGAAAGTACAGGTAAACCTGAGACTGTAATTCTGACGCCAGGGTTTTTCCAAGCAGGCCCTTTTGTTTGGGTGGAGCCACAGGTCGCTTCTTCTGGAATCCCACCGAGCATCTCATTAGTTGCAGAGAGTAGGGGGACGTGTTCAGTAAATGCCGCTGGATGGGAAGGAGGTACCGGCAAACACTGTGTGCGGCTGTTCACAGGGTACAGAGAAGAGGGGCGACTGTATCTGGATGGTTGGCAAAGGCTTCCTAGGAGTGCTGGGAGGTGCAGGAAGTGTAGGAGGAGTGTAGTTTCTGGGAAACGGGTGTGATTGGAGCAGGGAGACTGAGGGACGTGTGTGTGTCCTTGCTGCAGGAGGGAGGGCCTCACTGGAGAGGACAGAGGGAGAAATGGGGCCAGATCACAAAGGGCTGTGCTGTGTTGAAGAGTGAGCTTTATCCTCAAAGCTGTGAGGAGCCACGAGGCATTCTAAAAAGATATTGGCATGTTTCTTTACATTTTGGAATCTTGGGTAGGCCACAGTGGAGAAAGGTCTAGAAGTGGGTCAAGCTAGAGGCGGGCCAGGGTCCTGTCTGAGCCTGCTGGACATGTGGTGGTGAGGACGGGCAGGAGGAGGGGGAAAATGGTAGTGGGCGTGTCCGAAGGCTTGGTGAGTTTTAAAACTAGTGGATAAAATAGTTTAGGCTATGCTGCTATTCCACTTGGATTTTAAATAGAGCCTGGTGGTTAAGAGCACAGGCTGAACATTCTGTATGAAAATGCATCCTGAAGGACTCACAATGCTGCTGTTGTGTTTTCAGGATTCTTTGTTGTTGGAAGCTGTGTGGCGTCTTCAAATACAAAACATTGTGAGCCTCCAAGAGCTACTGGAAAGGTAGTGATAATATATTATTTAAATGCCATGTGATTTGTTTTTTGTAACCTCGTCTTGTATGTCTCATGTATCACAGCCAAAAATTGCCTGGAGAAACTATTACAGCTGACTTTGAACAACATGGGTTTGAACTGCACAAGCCTCCATATACACGGTTTTTCCCCATACAGTTGTCCCTCTGTATCCATGTGTTTTGCATCTTCAGATTCAACCAACTGAGAGGTTAAAAACAGTATTTTTGATCTGTAGTTGGGAGTCTGCTGATGCAAAGGGTCAGCTGTATGTGTGGTTCCACGACATTTTACATACTGGACTTGAGCATCTGCAGATTTTGGTGTTGATGGGAGGGTCCTGGAACCAGTCCCCTGCAGATACTGAGGGCTGATGACTATATTAAACTTGGGGGATCAATTTATATACAGATTTTTGACTCCTGTGTTGTTCAGGGGTCAACTGTAATTTATTATTTAAAGGGAATGTCTTTTTGTAATTGAAGTCTTATCGTGCACAGGCTTGGTAATGTTTTCTTTGTAGAAGATACATTATGTGATATGTTTAAAAATATTTTAAAAACTAAAAAGATATTCAGATAAATATGATTAATATATATGTGTGCAAGTGCTTTTATTTCATCCTGAAATCCCACCAACCCTCAGAAAGGGGGTTTTATAAAAAGGTGCAAGCCATGAAGATGGGAGGGTGTGGGAGAGGACGGAGCAGGAGGCAGATGGACCAGTGGCTGACAACTGAGCACGTTTTAGATGGGCTTGTGCAAACTAGCAGTGTGGAAAGAAGGAACCAATCTAGTGTCGTCTTTCTCCCTGGAAGACTCGGATTGACGGGTGCCTCTGGATGTCAGGGACAGGACGAGAGGCTGTGACTGAAAGCAGTGGCCAGAAGCACTTGGAAGCTCAGATGGCAGCTTTCTGCTCTAGGCAGCCAGGCAGTGGCTCCTCCCCAACCCAAGCAGGAGGCTGGGGGTTTGCATGTTTGTTCTCTGCTCAGGAAAAACTTGTTTGGGGGATTGCCCAGCTGAGTTGAAAATGCCATATTGAAACACTGGTGGTGGTTCATGTGGGCCACATCTGTATTTTTAAATATATATTTTTATTGATTATAGAGAGGAACAGAGAGGGAGAGATAGAAACATCAGTGATGAGAGAGAATCATCGATTGGCTGCCTCCTGCATGCACCCTACTGGGAATTGAGCCCACAACCCGGACATGTGTTCCTTCACTGTAATCAAACCCAGCACCCTCTAGTTTGCAGGCTGATGTTCTATCCACTAAGCCAAACCAGCTAGGGCCACATCTAGATTTTTAAGTTGGATCTTTTTGTTGTTAATTCTCACCTGACGATATTTTTCCATTGATTTTTAGAGAAAGTGGAATGGAAGGGGGAGAGGCAGAGAGAGAAACCCATGATTTAAGTTGGAATTTTATACCAAAAACAATGTTGATTAATATCAAAGAAGGAAAAAATAGAAATTATAAAAGCACTGGAAGGATGTTTTTGTAATCTTGAAGTGGAGAAGGCCTGACTGCTCTAATTAAAAATAGACAAAGGATATCAGTTGCCAGTTCCCCATAGAAGATGTACAGGTGGCCAGGCACATAAACACTGTTATCATGGAGGTGACAGGTGATAGGCGGGCAGGTGAGGGTTCTCCATCGGCTTTGCAGGCCACATGGATTCTCACACAGATTGTGCTGCATGGCCGATCCCGTGGAGACAGCCTGCAGCCTGTAATGCTGCTGTCTGTTCATTTGTATGATTATCTTATTATTGACCTTTCTTCCCCTTTCCCAACTGTCGTGAGCTATTCCAAATAAGTGTGAGTAAACTACTTGAAAATTATTATTTTTGATGTTAGTAGCAGGTGTCCCTAACTTATTTTGATGTTAGTAGCAGGTGTCCCTAACTTCTTGGTATAGAAGGCTCAGGTGGTTGCTAGCTTATTCTCAGTGGCCTAAGCTGCTGAGTGAGTGAAATGAGTGAGGAGAAAATGGCCCGATGGCTGTGGAGCAAGGGTCCAGGTGTGCTGTATGCTTGTCCCCAGCCACTCGGATGTGCAGGCGGTGGTGGCGTGGCTCTTCAGGAACCTGCGCTGTCTGTGTGAGCAGACAGAAGACACCTCTCAGCACGTCGACATCACCAGGGCTGTGCTCTCTGGTGAGTCCATCGCAGAGGCAGGCTTTGGGGCGGGGTGGCGGGGGAATTCATTTAGGTCAGCTTTCTGCTGTGTGGATCTGTGGGACGCAGAAAAGACCCTTACACCCGTGGTGTGGAGATCTAGCATGAAGTCATCTTGGGCCATACCTGTTGGATTTAACTTGAATTGTGTGGAAATTTTGTTAAGTCAGCCTGTTGATCCATTATGTTACGGGGCCTGTAGCTGGTGTGTTGAGTTAAATATTTGTGGATTATGACCTGAATGAGGAGGCACAAGCCCTCATGTGGGATTGGCAAGGAGCTCCCTCAGCATCCCAATTGGAGGAGGGCTATGCTAATTGAGGCTCAGTTTCACCCCCCAGAGAATGTGTTGAGGGAGACAGCAGGGTAGGAGCACCTGTTACTTACAAGGTGGTTAAGGATGTGGCCACCTACTTTTTGTGGGCTCAAGGGTCAGCTGTGTTTTCCTTCCAAATAGAATGGCAAGGAGAGAGTCTAGTTTGGTCAGAGCTTTTAGGTTGGGTCTGGTGACCTGCAGGGCTCCCAGGGACAGGAGCCAGGGTGTCCTCACAGCTGCCTGTGGGTCCGCCCTCAGCCCCTGAAGAGGGTGGTCTTGTGGGCCTCCTGGCCTCCTGGCTGCTCGGGGACTGCAGTGTATGTAAATACTTTGCTTTTGTGGTTTTCAGATTTTGTGCAAGTGTTTGTTTTGAGGGGATTTCAGAAAATCTCAGGTCCAAGAAGAAATGTGGAGGCTGAACAGATGCCCCAGGTAGGAGGAACAACAAAGGTGAAGCATTATAGGATTGTCGAATAAACCCCTACACCTGCACCCACCATGCCACCATGGAGTCCTCTCCTGGACATCCCTGGACCAGTGGCTGACTTTGCTGTGCTCATGAGGTGCCCCCTTCGTGTTCCTCCCCATCCAGTAGGTGTGGGAAGTGGGAACAGGTTGTGATCTCCCCCCATGTCTTCTGGTTTCCAGAGTGCTTGAAGGCAAAGATCTTCACGGCCTGGAATTCCCCTGTGATTTCAGAGGAAGGGAGGGGGCGCTCTTTCCCAGCTGCAGTCCAGACAGTGTCAGCAGGACTCTGCACGGGCAGCACCTGGGTGGTACAGACATGTGGGAAGCAGGGGGCCGGTGGGATGTGACCAGGGCCTGGGCATTCTGGGGCATCACAACAGATACTTCCAGAAAGTCTGCTTTTAACTGTCTAATCTCCTCGGTGTTGGGATGTTACGTAGACCTAAGAGGAAATCTTAACAGTGTACCTCTTTGAAAAGCCAGTATTGTATTTGACTCTAGAGTAACAACTAGCTTTCTTGTGTGGTTCACGGGTGTGACTGAGTAACGGTAACTCGTTCTGTGTTCACAGATTGCTGTGGCCGTGTTGCAGAGAATGCTGCTCTGTGAGTGTGCTGCTCTGTGCCCCAGGCTGTAAATGACTGTTTGTTTACCAGGAATTTTCTGTTTCTACCTTTTGGTTTCAAGTATTCTTCCTGTTTGTATATATATCTCCCCGTAGAGTCCTTGTACCAGAAAATCCCCTTTTTGGTTGTGCTTTAGTATAAACTTAGCCTCCACTTTTTCTCCTGGCTCATTCCTCCAGAGCTGTTGAATGAATGTTTATGTTTAACGGTGAATTGGGGGTGCTTTGTTGTCTGCATATTCTGATTGGTTGTAAAGGCTTCACTGAGACACTGGAACCTTAGAGGCCTTGTGCCGTCTGGGGGTTTGGGTGGCCTGGGAGGTCTGTAACTTGGCAGTGAGGGGCTCTTACCAAGGATGAAATGCCTGCCTTGTCCAGAAACACTTAGTCAGGGTTGTTTTGATGGGCGGTGATGATATGCTTCCGTCTCTTGCTTCCATGTCTTGGCATCAGTCGCACTTGAAACCTTGGCTGCTGGCGTGCAGGAGGAGTCCAAAGCGCACAAGGCAGTGAGGTGCTGGTACGTTCCTGGGGGGTCCTGGGGGCGGTGCTCACTAGGTTAGGGCCCAGGTATTTTAGACACTCCAGTACCAGCAGGTGACTCCTGAGCACACTCCTGCCATCGTGTCAGTGTTAGGAGAGATGACAGCTGGGAGGCACTGGGGTCCCCCGGGTCTGCCTGCTTTCTCTGAGATGAAGCAGGGAGATAGGCACCCCTCTCTGGGCCCCTCATTCCTCCAGGTCCAGACTCCTGCCAGTTGTGCTTAACAGAATGCCTTGATTAGCTGTCAGCGAGTATGGTGTCTTTTTTTTCTTCTTCAAAAATGTGGGTGTTTTTTTTTTTCAAATCTTGATTTGAGGGGCTTTTAGTGCTGCTTCCTTCTAAGGAGCATCCTTCTGTAAGCCTTGCTTTTCCTCCTGTTGGCTGACAGAGAACCGTGGAGCAGCCAATACACAAAACTAGTGTTTGTGCAGGGCTAATGACAGTGGTGGTTTATAGCTTGCTGGGCATTTGCATCCATGAAGTAGGAACTGGGGCTCTGCACCAGGAGCTTCTTCTCGTGTCTCCTCTTCTCTTCTGGAGAGGGATGGAGGAGATCCTTAGTGAGAGGCCTATTGTCGGGAGGTCGTCACCACCGGAAAGTGGAGGCATCTTTTTCCTTGAGATTCTCTTTTTGCTCCATTTGCAGGTTCAGTGGATTCAGTGGACACACATTCCACAGTATAATTTCGACGGATTCTTCAAAGAGGTTTTTCAGGCACACGCTGACTCAGATACTTACTCACCAGCCTGTGCTGAAAGGTGGGTTCCAGACTCGTTTGTTTGGGGACCATTGCCTCCCTTGACAGGGATTTGGGCCCCATGTTAATGCTCTCAGACACTTTGAGATTATTTTATTATTAACCATCCTTTCATTTGAAAAGAACACATTCTCATTAAGAAAATTTACAATTAAAGAAGCGCGGAAAGAAAAACTCATCCTTCTCATCACCAAAATAGAAGTAGCTTTAACACAAAATCTAGTTTTTTTCTAAATAGATTTTTGAAGATGTAGTTATACTTTTAAATTTCAAGGTTTGTTTCCATATGTCATTAACTTATGTATTTTATGTAGTTTCGTGGTTTTCTAACGTGTTTAATATTCATGTCATCTTTTATAATGAGTGTCCTTTGGCTGCTGCCACTATCAATGGCAAGCGTTCACTCTTAGTGATGGACTGAATGCACACCCTGTCCACTGAGCTGGCTCTGTGCTTTGGTACATCCTCAGGAGGGTCCACAGGTGGGATACAGTCGCTCTTGACAGAGGCTGCTATCCTACTCCTGAGGACCTGTGTCCTTCTTTCCACAGCATCCTCATTGATCTCCTGTTGACAGTTAAAGTTTAAAAGCAGTCAAAGTCGCCCTAGTTGGTTTTGTTTAGTGGATAAAGCATCGGCCTGAGGACTGAAGGGTCCTATGTTCGATTTTGGTCAAGGGCAGAAACCTGGGTTTCGGGCTCGATCCCTAGTAAGGAGCGTGCAGGAGGCAGCCAATCAATGATTCTCTCAACATTGATGTTTCTATCTCCTCCCTTCCTCTCTGAAATCAATAATAATAATAATAATAAATTGTTCCAGAAAAAAAGAAAAAGCAACTAGACTCAAATATGACATAGGATCACCAGCAGGTAGCTGGGCCAAAGAGACATTTTATAACCTAGAAATGGTTAACAAACGGAAATGGTGAACTTCACTAATTGAAAAAATACAAATTAAAATAAGGTAGTTCTTTGACATTGCAGCTTTAAAACCCAGCTTTCTGATGATTGCTGACTTGACGTTTTTGTCTGTTCTTCCTCCTGGTGAAGTCTCCGATGCTGTTCAAATGCAGAGGGACTGGAGCTTCGCCAGGACCCACCCTCTGCTCACTGGCCTGTACCGCAGGGTGAGTCACGGGGCAAGACGAGGGCCATGGAGAGCTCCCGCAGAGCTCTGGTTCCATCCAGTACTGACCCCTCAGCGAGGAGAGACGCAGAAGTGTCCCCTTTCAGCTCTGAGTTGTGTCCTCCAGGAAAGGGGTGGCGTCTGACTCTGCCAGCAGGTTCTGCCCTGCCAGCCCAGGCACTTTGTTTCAGCTCTTCGTGCTTCTGAGTCCCGAGGAGCTGGTGGGCCACTTACAAGATGTTCTGGAGACTCACGAGGTGAACTGGCAGCACGTGCTGTCCTGTGTGTCCACAATGGTGATCTGCTTCCCTGGAGCCCAGCGGCTGGTGACCGGTGCGCTTCGGGGGCGTTCTGGGTGTGCGAGTGTGCGTGTGTCTGCGTGCGATGTGCGCAGTGTTGTCGGCAAAAGGGGAATCATGGTGTCCATCTCAGCGAGGATGCCCTGAAGATGCCCTGCATCCTGCGGACTGTGCCCTCAGGCTCTGCCCGCTGCTGCTGTCAGCCTGTTGTAGTTGCTGTTTGGGTTCCGCTGATCAATTTCTAGTCCCTTGAAATGGACATTGAGTAATCAAGTAGTAGGGGGCACTTACTCCCCAGCGGTACATACGCATTTTATTCCATGGTTTTTCATGCCCAGATTGGGTAACCTGTCTGCTGGCCCGTGCGTTTGAGAGCTTTGACCTGGACTGCATGGTCACTGTGTTCCTGGTTGTGCGTCAGGCTGCGCTGGAGGGCCCCTCCGTGTTCCCGTCCTATGCAGACTGGTTCCAGGTGCGTTACCTTTGCTGACCTGCTGGTGTCCCAATAGGTAGTTTGCATGTCCCCCAACTTGCCAAGGAGAGTTTGTGTTAGGCAGTAAATTGTGCCTCTGATGTTCACAAGATTCCATAGTCATGTTTCAGCTGACTAGTCAAAGCTTCGCCATGACATTCAGAATTGTATGAACCAACTGGCTTTGTGGTTTCTCTCTCCAGTAGCAGTTTTCTGGTTTTGAGGTGCTTCACTGACAGGTCCCTTTGTGGACAGTAGGGCATGTGTTGTCGGTGCCTCACACCCATCTCCCTCCAGGCTTCTTTTGGGAGCTCAAGGGGCCACCACTGCAGCAGCAAGAAGGCACTGGTCTTCCTCTTCAAGTTCCTGTCTGACCTCGTGCCCTTTGAGGCCCCCCGGTACCTGCAGGTGAGAAGCCGGCTGCTGGCGCCTTTGCTCATGTCCTCCTCAGTCCAGGGATGGTTTTCCTGAGCAGGTACTTGTTAAACACTGCAAACCCAACAACTGGAGTGTAGGCATGCCCTCAGTGAAAGCGTTGGTGATGATAAAAGGCCAAAAACCACCCCCTGGCTGGTGGCCATACAGGGAGCTGTCGCAGGTCTTCCTTGGAGCAGCTCAGAGAGCTGAGACCGGGAGAACAGGAGAGTTGCACGTCCCACTTTTTATATTTAAGAATGATATGTTTTTATATTGGAGGAGAAGAACCAGGAAGGATATAACCCAAACTGCCAGGGGTCGTTACCTCTGGGCGTATAATAGGTCTGTATCAATCTCATGACTAAAATATTTCTGTAAGCCTTTAGTTAGATAACTATATCTAGCATTTGTTTTGGGGGGTTGGGCACCTAGAATCTCCTATTTCATAGAATCCAGGTGAGAGAATAGGTAGAGGAGTAGATCAAGCCATGTACCATATGGGGTGAAGCCCAGAGCACTGCTCACGTCTCCAGGGCCTCCCCTGCCTGTCTGAATGCTTGACCCCTGGCTTTTAAGATGGAAAGGTGCCTGGTGATTAAGGCGGCAATGGTACCTTCCATCTGAGGAGAGAGGTGTGCTGAGAGCCTCGGGCCCTCCCGCGGGACTCTTGTGCCCATTTCTGAAGGCGCGCCTTCGGGTGCATGTGGAAACCCTCACCAGGATCCCATTTCGTTCCATCCTTTTCTCCCCCAGCTTCTGCCCTCGTGGTCTTTGGCTAATTCTCTGACTTTCCCATCCTGTTGTGTCGTCTGCTGCAGGTGCATATTCTCCATCCACCCCTGGTCCCCAGCAAGTACCGCTCCCTCCTCACAGACTACGTCTCGCTGGCCAAGACGCGGCTGGCCGACCTGAAGGCAAGTCCTGGCTTCCCCTCCTCCCCTCAACCTCCAGCTGCCCACACCCATCTGGTCCTCAGTGTTCTCGCTCCTGTCTTCTGTGCAGGTTTCTGTGGAGAACATGGGGCTCTATGAGGATTTGTCTACAGCCAGGGACGTCACAGAGGTAATTTACCTTGGTGCTGCTGCCTCGGGCCCCCCCATGCCCTCCCTCAGTCCCCCTCGTGCTCACCAAGCACATTCTTGTTCTTGTTTCTTGTGATGGAGTTGAGCCTTTCCTGCCTGGGACCTGGGATGTCTGGTGCAGGTGGAATGTGACAGTTGCCCCAAGTGCTTGTTCTGTAACATCTCTGTTGAGAACAGGAACAGGACCATCACTGCGTGTGGGAAGGGTTGTCTTGTGGGAAGGGTTGTCTTTTGGGAGACCCCGTCCATGTGGGTTTGAGTGGACAAAGTGACCTATAAAACTGCAGGGAGGTGCCTTTTTTTCTCTCTCTAGGAATTACAGGAAAAGAGGTTAACTACATTTATGTAAACCAAATGTTAGGTGTCCATGTGGTATGCGTGTCTTCTTTAAGACCATTTTACAGGTACTTAAAAGTTGTGAGTTGCTGGAGAACTGTTACAAATGCTATTAAAGTGAATATTATGAAATACTTAGTTCCTTTTTCTGTTTAAAATGTACTGCTGTACTTAAGAAAAATATCAAACTTAATTTCTGCTCCTTCTCACCGGAAAATCTTTAGTTGGAGCTCTTTACTGTCCTAGAAGGGAGCAGAGAGGAGAGGTAGGAAGGAGATGGAAGGATGGCAGTGGCTTTCCACAGGGGCCATGTTGTTACCGGGCTGCTCATTGGTCTGACTGCTGAGGGCAGAGAGAAAGCCACCAATGCCTTTTGTGGTTCTGAATTCCCAGTGTGCACGCATCGACTCCGCACCTTTTACCTCAGATGACAAGCCTTCTATTAAGTGTCCTGTTCTTTTCTTTCCTCCCTTCACGGAGTCAGCCCCACCGCCAGGCATCCCAGGATGTGGAGAAGGCTATCCAGGTGTTTGAACACACAGGGAAAATTCCCATTGCCGTCATGGAGGCCAGGTAGGGTCATGCTGGGGCTGTCCCTCATCTTTTCTCAGGGCCACAAGCCGCAGGGAGGTCATGTTTGTGGGGAGATGCAGGAGTCCATGTAAATGTCCCAGCAATGGTCTTGCAGCTTGCTGGTGTGGAGTCCTTGACGTGACATGAGTTTTCTTTAGAAAAGCGCAGGGCACCCCAAAACAGCCAACAGGTGGAACTGAGTGGAACCCACACTGTTCGAGGGACGATTGTTTTTATTAATACTTAATTGGTGACCAGTGTGAAGCTAGTACAGGGAATCAAATACCAAAACTGTGTTGAATTTTATGTGATCCCAAAACTTGTTAAGTTCTGGTTAATACCAGTGTGGATTAGCTTTATTTTAAGGTATTGCTTCTGAAAAATGTGGTCCTACTTCTGGGATTTCCTAGGGGGCAGAGTGTTATCCAGATTCCACAGGACACAGGCGACCAGCACAGACTACCCTTTGTATGAACTGGGACTTAAAAATGTGATGTAATGTCATAGCCGTGAAAGGAGACAGCCCACATGGTGCCACTCTGGAACAGATGTTTTGTTGTGTTCACTGAGGTCCTGGCGCTTCTGTTGTCTGAGCCCTCCCTTCTGTGTTGCAGCATATTTAGGAGGCCCTACTACATCTCTCACTTTCTGCCCGCCCTGCTCACACCGCGAGTGGTGAGTACACATCTTCACGAACTCGGGACCGAGGCGGCAGAGAGCAAGGACATTCCTGCCTGGATCTCACTGGAGTCTCGTGTTTCCTCTCACAGATCCCGAGTGCCCCTGACTCCCGGGTGGCCTTCATAGAGACCCTGAAGAGGTGCGCAAGGACAGGCTGCTTCTAGTAGGGCTTTGACAACGCAGAGGATTCTGGGTCTTTTGTAGAGATGTTTTTGTCACGTGTGTTTTACTTATAAAATATTGGCTCAAAATTAGTTAACATTTTAAAAGAATTTCTTTGATTCTAAGTATTGCCACTTAGCATAATTTTTCAAAGAACATGTAGAAGATTGATTGATCTGGGAGCTAAGTAGTGTTTTTCGTACAAAATCATGAAAGGAAAATTAATGCCAGCTTTTTTTGTATTTGTATGATGTAGCTTAATTTTTTGACATTTATTTCTAGTCTTAAAAAATGTTTTGTCAAAGTTAAATTGGTTTAGAAAAAAGAATTATAGTTCTGAAATTTATTAAGAAAAACAGCCACCACTCACCCCTCCCTGCCACTTTTTTCTGTTTGGATGCAACTGTTTTCAACTCTAGCTGGTTTTATTTCCGTATCTCTAAAGAGCGTTTTTATTTTGCTGCTTATCACATTTTCTATTTTAGGAAATATCAATTGATAATCCCTGTGGAATAAATTCAAACAATTTTTTTAAATTTATTCCATCAATACAATTAGCTGTCCTTTGTACAATAGTTTTAAAAACTCAGTTTTTACTTTTATAAAAAACTGTTCAGATTTGACCTTAGGAATCCAGTTGTTTACTTTTGTTTTCTCTGGAGTTCATATTTGTCTTACCTCATTTTCCTTCTACATATCATGATTCGCCTGCAGATCCTGCCAGTTGTCTAGAGTCCTCTCATTCAGAGTCGAGTATCCAACAGTTACATCTGGAGACGCCTCTTGCAGAGCCTTTTTCTGAACTGCTCCAGTCTGAATTGTTAGCTTCTGGCCTCTGAGCATAGCTGCCATCTGTGTCTCCTTTCGACATCCCTCAGGAGTGTTCCTTGGCTTGTGCTGACCCTTCCTTTTCTGTGTCTCATATCATCCTCTTGGCTTGCTCCTTTATTTTTGTGGAACATACCCTGTTGATGCAGATTTTTCTTAAAGGATGGATGGGAGGTAAAAAAAAAAAAAAAAGTTTGACACCATACTGAGCCTTCAAGTTCAATAGGTAATTTGGTTGAGTGCAGAAATATAGGCTGGAGCTTGTTTTCCTTTCAGTCTTAGAAAAATTCCTCCATTGACTTTCAACCTCTTTGTTGTTGAGATGTTATGAGCTTATGTGTTTTTCTCTCTGGAGGCCTGTAGTGTCTTATTTTTTCGCTGTTCTGAAGTTTTATAGTAATGTGGATTGCTGTGGGTCTGATGTCATTTCTTTGCTGGGCAGATGGTAAGCCTTTAAATCTGGAAATCCATGTCCTCCAGTGCTAAGAAATTTTGTCTATTTTAAAACATTTTGTTATGAGAAATTTAAGATAGAAAACTACAGATAAGAGTATGTATAACCCAGCTTTCATAGTTATCAACAAATGGCCAGTCTTTCATCTGTAGCCCTCAGTTCATCCATTTACCCACCCTTCTGGGTTATTTTGGAGCAAATCCAGACACTATTATTCCACCTTAGCTAATTTCACTGCAGGCTTGCTGTCCTCTGCATGGTTTTTGGAGCCCTTGATTTTCAGATTTTAGAGTTCTTGGATTGTCTTCTGATGTTTTTTCTCTTCTGACATATTTTACATATCTGGTGTTTGGGGATTTTTTCCCCTCTTCAAGTTCACCTGCCTGTCCTTTAGTGAGTTTCACTTTTGCCACCAGATGTTCCTTTTATGTCAGTCTGGTCTTGCTAAACAGCTGTTGTGTTTGCCTTCCCTCTCAGAGTAGTGGTGATAATGGTGCCTGAGGGTTTTCTGTGAATTTCTCCACTTTCTTTTGTTTGCATTGATTTCTACTTTTTAAAAAATACTTTTATTGATTTTTAGGGAGGAAGTGAGAGGGACCGATGGAAACATTGATTGGCTACCTCCTGTGTGCCCCCTGCTGGGGATCGAGCCCAAAACTTGTGCATGTTCCCTGACGGGGAATTGAACCAGTGAGCTTTGGTTCCTGGGCAGTGCTCAACCACCGAGCCCCACCAGCCAGGCTGGTTTCTATTTCTTAAGCTAAAAGCTTTCCACTTCCCAATTGGTTGGTGGTCCCCCTGGGTTCCTACTTTCCAGGCTCCTGATGGGCCCTCGCTCTGGAGCTCAGCTGTGTCCTCTTCCTGTTTGTATCGTCATGGTTTGCAGGACTGGCAGGTCAGATGCCCTCCTGGCTCATGTGGAGGCTTCTTGTCCTGCAGACCATGCCTGTGTCCATGCGTCCCATACCTGAGCTGTCCCTTGTGGCTCCTCTGAGGGTGACTCCATGGCTTCTGTCCTTGGACTTGTCACTGTGTCCTGAGACAGTGCCAGCCGTGGTTTGTAAACGCCCTTTGTCCTTATCACAGGACCTACTCTCTAATTTTTTGTGTTTTTCATCACATTTCAGTGTTTTTGTTAGTATTATTAATTACAGTAGTATAAGTTCCCTTTTAAAATTTGTAAATTTCTAAAACTTGAACAAGAGAAGTAAGAAAATGCATAATCTCCTTGCCCAGTGAAACCAGTGCTGCAGATGTGAGCACATGGCCTTGTGTACCAGTGAGGACGTGATGTAGCGTGGTTTTTCTAAACGGGGTCACAATGTACAGTGCTGTGTAATTACACTTACTCTGTCACATACTTTTGCTTTATTAAAGTTTTTGGAATTGTAAGCTTGAGAACTAGCTTGAATTATAGTTGACCTGATTTTAATCTTTTGTTCTGATCCAGAGCAGATAAAATCCCCTCGTCTCTGTATTCCACCTACCGCCAAGCCTGCTCTGCTGCTGGAGAGAAGACACCGACAAGTAAGGGCTCTTGGCCAGGAGCTGTGGCAGTGGCGCCTCGGTCAGTGCTGTCTGGTTAGGTTACGCTGGGTCTGACCAGGGCTCTGGGTTCAGAGACTGCCCACCACCAGCCCCAGTCACGGACCAGGATGTGATGCCGTCGGCCCCGTCGCTGATGTACCTGAAATAGCACGTTCCTAAAGCAGTGCATGTGTTAGGAACTCTGCTGTTTGTGGTCCCACTGAGGGTGATGAGGTTTCTGCTTGCCTGTCCTGAGTTCAAGCTTTAAACTCGGGTGACCTCTCAGACTCAGCAGCCAGGCTTCAGAACTGTCTCGTTTCTGAAGCCTGTTGTAGGGCTGGGCTGTGACAGCTTTCTGGCTGACCATTTCATTTTTTTGTTTTGTTTTTAATATATATTATTGATTTTTCACAGAGAGGAAGAGAGAGGGATAGAGAGCCAGAAACATTGATGAGAGAGAAACATTCATCAGCTGCCTCTTGCACACCCCCTACTGGGGATGTGCCCGCAACCAAGGTACATGCCCTTGACCGGAATTGAACCCGGGACCTTTCAGTTCGCAGGCCGACACTCTATCCACTGAGCCAAATCGGTTTTGGCTGGCTGACTATTTTGATGGTGGTTGAGTTCTTTGGTAGATTTCGGGGGGGGGGGGGTGTCTTTCTGTTTCTAGGGAGCAGTGACATGGATCTACAACACATCTGAAAGCATGTAGGGGTGAGATGGCCATGCTCAGAGCTCTGGGCAGACTCGGTGTGTTCCTGCCCACCCTACCTGGCCACTAATAAGGCGGTGGCTGTCAGCAGTGCGTCAGGCTGTTTTCTCACAATGTCACTGGACAAGGGGCAGGAGCCACGCTGATGAAGCAGCTTGTGTTTGCTTGTTTCAAACCTCTGAACTGTAGGGCCATGTAGGCTCATGGGGCTTCTGTCTGCCAGAAACCCCTTTCACTAGCATGGATAACTTATAACATGGAGGCCAGCCCGAGTGGGCAAAGAATGAAGGTCCCAGATCTCACTGCTCTCAGATTCAGTGAGACAGCAGTTCTGTTGGGAAGTCCTCTGTGGTGTTGGTCCTCCTCGCCCAGCCCTGGGTCCCACCTTTGGGGGCTTTCAGAATGTTTTCTGCTGTAGAACTTGTTTAACGGCTCATCAGTAGAAGCCTGAAGCTCTGGCTCCTGGTGTCACCGGAGACCTGTGAGGCTTGCTGCACACAGTGTCCTCTCCAGCGACACCAGAAATGAACTGATTTTGCTTTTAAAACACCAATTCTGCCTTTTTTCTTTGTTTTATTTTTTTCCCCACCTATGGTAAACAACTTAGAAGTTTGAGAAACAAGGAATAAGTCATTCATGACTGTCTCCTGCCCAGCCTCCCTTGCTGTGCTGCTTTTTTTTTTTTTTTTTTAGAAAAAGGGGATGGGGGGATAGAGAGATAAAAACATCAATTGACTATCTCTTGCATGCCTCCTACTGGGCATTAAGCCCACAATCTGGGCATGTGTCCTGACCAGGAATTGAACCAGTGACTTCTTGGTTCATGGATCAATGTTCAACCACTGAGCCACACTGGCGGGCCTCATCTTTTATTAGACACATGCTTTTTGTACTTGTGGCAATGGGGCGGGTAGACCATGCTTGTTCTTGAGCTTATTTATGAGTGTTTTGATTTTTGATGTGACAGTATCCAGCCTCAGGAGGGTATCATCCCTCCTTGTGGGCAGAGAACCATGGGAATGAGCAGGTCCGCATTCAGCTGCGTGTTTCCCATATGACTTACTTGTTAGAATCACTCTTCCTGGTCTCGCAGCAGATGCAGCCCTGGGAATGGAGGTGGAGGCAGAACCTGGCTGTGCGGAAGGCTCCCTGGGACTGCTCACAGCTGCACTTCAAGAGCTCAGGGCTGCCATGACAGACCCCGCCCATTATGATGGTGAGGACGGGCAGTGGGCAGGCTTGGAGCTGTGTGTGGCCATGGATGGGGCTCAGTGGCTGGTCCACTCCCTCAGGGTGGTAGTGGTTGGTACTTATTCCTGTGGTTCAGTGTTTGGTAGTGATGCTTGACCCTGGTGGTGTCAAGGATGTGGTCCTCTTTAGACAGGCTGGGAGACCAGTCACTCAAGCTGTCACAGACCCTTGGCAGACGGTGACTGTTCTGCTCTATGGCATCCCAGTAGGACAGGTGGTGGAGAGGAGGCTGAGCGACGGTACTAGTTGGGGTTTTCTTTCTTTTCCTAACGCCTGTGCCTCTGCTGCTGTGTGCATTGTGAGTGTTTCTCTGAAGTAGGAGCCCGGACAGTTGATACTTCGCAATGGTGCACAGCAATCTATGAAATAAATCCTAACTCCCAACACTTTCAGACTTTAGTTATGGAAAATGCAAAATCCCAAATAGTAGGCTAGCCTGCACCGGCATGGCTAAGTGGTTGAGCGTTGATCTATGAACCAGGAGGTCACGGTTTAATTTCTGGTCAGGGCACATGCCTAAGTTGCAGGCTCAATCCCCAGTGTGGGCATGCAAGAAGCAACCAATCAATGATTCCCATCATTTATGTTTTTTTTCTCTCTCTCTCCCTTCCTCTCTGAAGTAAATAAGATTATATTAAAACAAAATTAGTAGGCCATATTTTTACCTAGTAACTGTACAGGTTTTATTTTTTTATCCTTACCCAAGGATATATTCATTGTTTTTAGAGAGAGAGGAGAGAAAAACATCTATCAGTTGCCTCCTGTATGTGCCTTGACTGGTAATTGAACTGCAGCCTAGATGTGTGCCTTGACCAGGAATGCACCCTTTCAGTGCATGGGATGATGCTTCAGCCAGCCAAGTCACCCGGCCAGGGATCTTCTGAATTCATTTTATTCCCCTAAGAAAGAATATTCTGAGAGAGCCTCACGGAGGAAATACTAACAAAACTATTAGTTCTTCTGCTTGCTGGGTGCCTGCAGGGCCTTAGCTGCGATCCTGCAGAGTGTGCCAGGGGTGGGAGCATGGCCTTTCAGAGTTGTGCGCAGAATGTGGCGTCTGGAGATCCTGGGACCTGGCGGGACCCAAAGGCTCCAGCAAGGTGGCTGAAAGGTCAGGTCAGCCTTCTTCCAAAGCAGCAGAGGTTCCATTTCCACACAGTATGGTTGGCCCACTCAGCACCCACCCAACCTCTGGTGCTTCAAGGTTGTGGCTCTTGGCCATCAGAAACATGATGGCAGCTGGGACGCAAGCCTCCAGCAGATGACACAGTTTGGGGGAGAGGTGGTATGTGATTCAGATGAAGAATTTAAATAATGGTGAGGTTTGTGGTGGTGACAGTGCGTGCTCCTTACATGAGCAGTACATGCGTATGGTGACTGCCCCTTTGCCTCGTCACCTCTCCACACCCAGTCACTGCCGCCTGCAAGGAGTTGGCCCTGGGGTGCAGTCAGGGTGGTAGTGTGTAGTTTCTGCGCCCTCATTAGCCCCTCTGCATCCCTCCCTGCACCCCTGCTCACCTGACGACTCTGCCATTTGCAGTTTTGTCTGCTCAGATTGCGGTGGTTTCTGAGAGGCTGCACTCTGCCCTGGGCCTCAGTGAGGATGACGGCAGCTCCGAGGTCTCGAAGATCCAGCTCAGTGTTCTTGCTCCCAAACTGGAGCAGCGGGAGCAGCAGGTGAGTGTGGGAGGCCAGAGAGCACAGCTGTTGCGCCTGCTGGGTTGTGCTAGAGAACTGAAAGCCCTTCTCTTCACTCTGGTCCTGCATTTAAAGTGTATACATGGAACCAAAACATCGAGTCCTTGGTGCCTGGGTCAGCACCCCACCTGTGTGCGCAAAGAACATGCAGCAGAGGCTGTCTGTGGCCTCAAAGTCCACAACATTTGCTCTCTGGCCTGCTCTCTGCTGTAACATTTCACCAGAGGAGACTGCGGGACAGCACAACCTGTCATGTTCCCAGGGTTTGGGAGTGGGGATTCTTGTACCCGTTTGCTTTGGAGTTTCCTCTCTGAATGCAAACCTGTCAAATGTGTGTAAATAATACAAGATCCGACTCATGCATGTTCCCCTCCACGTGTCTCTCCTCTCAGGTCGTGGATCTTCTGCTGACGTCTTTCTGTCAGAACCTAATGGCAGCCTCCACTTTTGCCCCACCGGACAGGTAGTCTGGGCAGTTTGTGTGCAGGTGGCCTGCTGCCCTGGGTGGCCCCCTTGGTGGAGCAGAGCTTCTCCCTGGTTCCATCAGTTCCTGGTCCTCGGGCTTCCTGCTGGGCTACGGGTGGGGGCTATGCTGAATTCACCCAGTGGGGGTGGGGCAGGCGTTGAGCATTGCACAGGAGGCGCCACTATTTGAGGAACTGCCTGCTTCTTGCTGAGGTCTCTTTTGCCTGAGTGCTGGTCCCCCAGATCCTGGGAGGGCTGTTCAGGACTGGGACTGGCCATTGTCTCTGCAGGCAGGGCTCCTGGGCGGCCCGCTTTGTGACGACCACATGTAGACGCTCGCTCCTCCCCGCTGTGCTCACCAGGCTCTGCCAGCTTCTCCATCACCAGGTACAGCTGCTGCCTCCAGCTGGGAAGGGGGCTCTGCACCCTCCCTCCTGCTGAACTACTTCTCGGTCCCATTTTAGGGCCCGAGCCTGAGTGCCTCGCATGTGCTGGGGTTGGCTGCCCTGGCCATCCACCTTGGCGAGTCCAGGTCTGTGCTCCCGGAGGTTCACATGGGCCCTCCTACCCTTGCCAGGGGCCTCTCCATCCCTGAGTTCTTCAGCAGCCTCCTGACATGCAGGTCCAAGGAGTCCTCACTCTTCTGCCTCAAGTGAGCTTTCCCCTGGTCCCTCAATTACTTGTGTCCTCTGTTAGCAGAAGTCAACAAATGTGTCCCTCAGATAATGACGGGTTAACCTCTTGATGTCTGTCCTTCCAGAATCTTGTTTCTATGTATTTATGTGGGAGGGTTGGTTTGTTTATAAAATGGGATCACATGCTGCACTAAACTGTGTGCTAAAATGTTGGTATTAGACTGTGGTGCCCTTGCATGTCGCTCAGCGTCCTTTGCGCCAGTGAGAGCTGCTCCATTTTGGTTCAGGGTCCTGACTTCTGGTTAGGTCCCTGGTTCCCTGTGCTGAGCAGCTGTTGCAGCTGTTTCTCTAGGGAAAACCCCTACCTGTGGAACAGCCCATCCAAAGGTAGACTCATCTTAAAGGGCTCTGAGACCCATCTTCATCCTTTAAGTCCAGGCCAGTTTATACCCCGCACATCCCATCATGCACCACTGAGCCCTTTCCTACCCTTCTGTGTGGGGACACCTGCTAACTCAACAGTGTGATGCATGCAGGCCAGCAGGTGCTTGGGCAGGTGGGTGGGTGGGGTGAGAGTGGCTGGCCTGTCTGAGGAGTTCTGTGTGGTGGATCTGTTGGCTGGGGCTGTGTTCGAAGTTTACTGGCAGTTGATAAAAGGCCTGAGGGATGTAATCAGCAGAAAGGATAAGTGCAGGAAGGCCTGTCTCTGCCTACTACCACCTGATGTCTGCGTCGTCCACACTGGAGGCAGATTGCCCATCCCCATCCCTCTCTTGGGCTTTGGCAACACCAAACAGTCCCCACTGGGAGTCAGTCCTGTAGGTGCCCTGGTCCCTCCCGCCTGCCCCCCCTTTCCCCCCTTTCTCACCGCCTTCCTGACTCTCTGGGCCTCTGGGTGAGTCTGTTCTGGTTAGTCTCTCCCTCCTCCGAGTCTCCACCTGCAGCAGGGACAGAGCTTAGGCCCAAAGGGTATGACGTGAGAGCCACTTCCCCAGTGCTCAGGAGTGGAGGCTGAGAATGGGGACCAGGACTCACACTTAATTCTCTCTGCCTTATTTTCATGAACCACATTTTTATGTTACAATTTCCATTTTCTATTTACAGATTTTGTACCGCGACAATTTCTTACGCTTTGTGTAAGTTTTCTCCCCAGTCATGTGATGCTTGGTACAGCTGTTTATCTCCAGGCCTAATAAAAAAGGTGGGTCTCTTAGGTTCCTTTCTTCCATCCTCCTGAGTCTCCAGTTTTATGCAGGAGTCCAATGCCCATGCCCCTTGTTTATCAGGCTGTCTGCTTGGGCTGGACATGGCCTTTTCCTCCTGTTCCAAGTTAAACGAGGGGGTGTAAGAATCTTCCCATTCAGAGAATTCCATTTCCTCTAGAGAGTTCTGTCTTCTTGTGAGTGCTTTTTAGATTGTTAGGAGATGAGAAATTTAAAGTGTGTGAGAATGTGTCAGCCAGGCAGGTGCGGTTACTGCTGCTTTTGCAGAGATTTAAGGAGCCTCCATGTGAGGTTTAAACCTGGTTCTCAGTCCAGGCTCACCCTTAGGATCAATGGAGAAGCTTAAAAGCCCAGCCTCCTGGCCTGACAGGTAGATTGGTGTTCGGAGCAGCTGGGCCCCTATGCTTGGTGTAGAGGAGCTTAGACTCAGCTGCCAAATTGTAAGGTATGGAATGAAGAGCAGAAGGAGTGGCTCCAACAAGGAAAGTCCCCACTCACACTGTCCAGTCCTGATTCCCATGTGGTGCAGCCTACACGAGAAAAACAGGGAAACGGCTGACTTCCTCAGGTGCAAAGGGTACAAAGGAACACTCCCCAATAGGCTTTGCTTGCCCAGTGTCACTTCCTGGGAAGATAGCAGTGCCAGCTGAGGCCTGGGAAGACAGCACCACCCTGTGAAGGCAAGTCAGACCCAGCCATCAGCTTCTAGGTGTCCACCCAGGGAAACCATCCTGTGTGCACCGAGGTTTACATACAGGCTGCTCAAGGAGATGCTGCATGTAACTGGTCACGGTGCCCAGGGCGCCCCACAGGAAAGGCGACGCTGCAGGTGAGGCCGCTGCAGGTGGCAGTGTCTTCGCTGCCTGCTGTATGTGGCCAGGCGACGTATTTTCTGAATCTCACAGATGCATTGCCGTCTCTCTCCAGTTTCAGTTCATTGTGCTCAGATTGTTCTCAGAAGCCCGAGACCCTCTCTCCGTGGAGGACACAGCCAGCCTGCCCTGGAGGCCCTCGTGCCTGCCGCCTGCAGACTGGCAGCGAGCTGCTCTCTGTCTGTGGAGGCAGAGGGCCTTTCAGGAACTGTTGAAGGAGAAGGACTTTCATGTAGGTACTACGGTCCCTCCCCTTCTCTCTCCCCTCATCCCAACTCACGGGTCGGGGCCTGAGGATGTGGTGGGCCGGCAGATGGCCTGACCCAGTGACATTGGAGCAGCATAGACTTGGCTTTGGTTGAGACTGTTATTGGGATCATTGTAGATTCACACCTAGGTTTAGAAACCAGATAGAAAGAGGCCTTTTACACTGCCCAGTTTCCCCCAACAGTAATATTTTGCAGAGAATTTTAAGAATGGGTGAAAATGTATCTTAAACATCTGCCAGGCTCCGGTTTGGGGCCGGGCTTCTCCGAGCACAATCCCTGGGAGCCTCGGCACTTTGGGCCAGTGTGCCCTGTTGCTCGTCTCTGCTTCCTTTCCATAACTTGCATTTATTTCTGGGATGCTTGCCTGTTTGTTTTGGTCTTAGAGAATAATTCCCATTTGTTTTATTTTTCAGTTTTATTGTTAACTATATCATTTATGCAAGAGTAGGCCTGACGGTCTGTGGAAGGCATGGAGCAATGACGCTGGGAATAGCTGTGCTCACCAGCAGCTTAGCCGATGCCTCCCCTGCACCTCAGGGTGCTTTCCAAGCCCTGGGCCATTGCAGCCCTGCAGGTCCTGCAGCAGGCGCACCCCAGAGCTGCCTGTCACCGGCTTGGCCCTCACCCTGTTGGGATGTGCTATATGCACGTTTCTGTGACATGCTCTTTTACACGCAGTGTTAGGTTCTGAGATTAGTCAGGGTTGATGAGTGAAACTGTTCCAAGAATTTGAAAACAAGAAATTTGCTACCATGAATGTTTGAAGCAGTTATGAAGTTTATTGGTTACTATCTACCTCCTGGAACTAAAGAATGACTTCTTTCCCGGTGTTGCTGAGCGGCAACCTGAGAGGTTTGCAGATGCCACAGACCACTGCTCACACTGCCAGAGCACTCCTCTTAACAATCCAGTTTTCCCGTCTTAGTAGCTTCCCATGCACAGTTAAACAAAGCAACAGAGCAGTTCTTCTCAGGACCTGGGGCCGTTACTGCCTTCCAGCAGTGGGAGGTGGCATGAAGTAGAGGTTACTTTGACCACGTGAGGGTGCTGGCCTGTGGGACTATGGGGAAAGGACTTGTGGTTTCTGGGTTCGATCCTCACTGTGGCACCCAGCTGGTCCTCCTCTCAGTTAACTTTCAGAGACTGGGTGCAGCTGGAACTGGAGATTCACCCGGAAGTGGACTCTCTTTCAGATATAGAAAGGTAAGTGTTTAATAGATTCTGCCCTCAAAGTGTTCTATGGTTTTCTACATTGTCTTAAGTTTTATCATTATATCCTAATGCTCAGTTTAACACATCTGTGAGCAAAATTTCATTCACTCCTTTACTCAAGAAACATTGAGCTGTGGACACAGTACTTGCGCCTGTCCTGAGGTTTCCTTCCTCAGATATGTCTGCACAGGTTTCAGGAGAAAGCACGGATGATCGCCGTGGCTCCTTGCCCACTCATGCTGGGTTTGGTTCTTCACAGACGGCAGTGCCGATGGCTTGGGCTTTTGGTAGTTTGTCCTCAGGCACCCTGGGAGGAGTCCTCAGCTTCTGTCCCAGCTCAGCAGGTTGCTGTGCCCCTCACTGGGATCATTTCTTACTGTGGGAGCTCCTGCTTGCAGACATTACAGCACAGACGTGGTATGTGCTTACAGGCGGGACTTCCACCAGTGGGCCATCCGTGAGCATTTTGTCCCCATGCCCTCCGCTGCCGGGGGCTGTGATGGAGACCTGGAGACAGCGTGCACCATCCTTGTCAGCGTTCTGATGGACTTCTGTCAGAGGTCAGGAATGCTGATGCCAAAAGCATCTTACTTTTAATTTGGGTAGTTGTAGGAATATTTTTATTTCCCTCGTTTCCCACATTATCACCAACAGTGTTGTTACCTGACTTTTTGATAATATTTGTCCTCGTGAGTGTGTAGTGATATATTGCATTATGATTTTTATTTGCTTTTCCTTGATGGCTAATGATGTTGAACATCTTTTTATTAGTTTGTTGAACATTACTGTATCTTCTTTGGAGAAATGTCTGTTCAGATCCTTCACCCGTTTTAAAATTGGGTTATTTGTTTTATTGGGTTGTAAGAGTTCTTTATATGTACTGGATGCTATATCCTTATCAGACATATGAGTTACATATACTTTCTCTCGTTCTGTAAGTCATGTTTTCACTCCTCAGTGGAGTACTTTGATGCATAAAAGTTTTACATTTTTATGAAGCCAATTTATTTTCAGTTTCAGCTTTTATGTTTAGGCCTTTGATCCATTTGAGTTAAATTTTGTAGGTGGTGTATGTTAGGAATCCACCTTTATTCTTCTGCTTGAGGATGTCCAGTTCTCCCAGCACTTTGGGAGAGTGTCCTTTCATGGTTGAACGGTCTTGGTGCCCTTGTCAAAAATCAGTCGACTATACTTGGGAAGGTTTTTCCCCCGGACTCTCTTCTGTTGAGCTACAAGTCTATCCTTATTGTCAGCCTCACACTGTTTTGATTACTGTAGTTTTTACTAAGTTTTAAATTGGGAAAAGTGAGTCCTCCAACCATGTTCTTTTTATTTTTTAAATAATATAAACCAAGTCACTTAATTTTTTAAAAATATATATTTTATTGATTTTTTACAAAGAGGAAGGGAGAGGGACAGAAAGACCCAAATAAATGTAAAGACATCCCATGTTCATAGATAGACTCAGTGCTGTTAAGACTCAGTGGGAGAGAGGTAGAAGAGGATAAAGAGGGGACAAATGGTGATGGAAGGAGACTTGACTTGGGGTGGAGAACACACAATACAATATGCAGATATGTACTATAGAATTGTACCCTTGAAACTACATAAAGTTATCAACCAATGTCACCCTGAAAAATTCAGTAGTAAAATTCAGCGTGGGGGAGGTGATGAGCGGGACCATCCAGGGGAGGGGCCATGGGTGGTTGGCCAGCTGGCCCCGCCCCCTGGTCAAACACAAGGTCGAACTCCTGTTCGAGAGGACAATTTGCATATTAGCCTTTTATTAAATGGGATGTATATTAGTTGATTTATAGATGTTGAACAAGCCGTGTGTCCTTAGGATAAGTTCCAGTGGATCACGAGACATAACTTTTTATGTTATTGGGTTTGTGTTGCTAGTATTCTGTCACAGAAGGTTTTGTTGTTTGTTAGTTCCTGTGACCACACACAACTCTGGAGGCAGGGGAAGAAGGAGCTCCAGCACAATTAGGAGATTCTCAGGAGGCTTTTACTGTGTTTTTGTTTCAGTTCAAGGAGTTGTGACCCCTCAGAGAATTCTGATTTGGTTCTTGGTGGCTACATGGGAAATCGAGATATTTTTTCAAGATTGCAGGTGAGTTAGAAGGTGCAAAATTCAGTGTGTTTACATTATATCCATAATGGGTCCTAAGGCAGCTGAGCAGAATGAAAACTCGCATCACACACACAGAGGCTGAGACCCAGGTGACGGTTGCTCTGTGAACGAGTCATGTGCACATGATGGGAACACAGAGACCAAAGCTGTGGTGCTGGCATTGTCTCCAGGCTTCGGGACATTCTGAAAATAGAGGCAATTAAGAAAGTTTCAACTTTGATGTTAACACAAGTGCTACCCCACTGTTTCTGCTTTATTCTTGGCTGTTCCATTTGGGTGTCGGCTCTGAGAAGTGATGTCAATCACTTCAGAGGATCAACAGAGTGTCTCAGGGTCGGCTGGCACGTTGCAGGCAGCGGGCTCTGTCACCTGTGCAGGAGCACGGAGAGAGTGAGAGCAAGTGTAGTCAACATGCCTGCTGGCCTCAGACCTTCTAGGGCATAAGGATCAGATCTGAGCCCATCTGCCTCCCCATCCATGTGTCCATGGGAACCTGCCTGCAGAAATGCACAGCGTTCTGTTCTACAGGGTCCTGTGTGTGGATTTCATGCTTCCTGGTGGCATTCCTGCTGCCTCTCAGAGTGCCTGTATTTAGGAAATAGGAATGGAAAGGAAAACATGGAGGCTGTGGTTTAGAGCACTGGGGAAATTTACTAACAAATGAGTGAAAATCCCACAAAAAAGAGACCTGATTCCCCTGACCCCTCATCTTGACCTCTTGTTCTCCGCATCCTTCATGACTTGTGTGACTGATGAGGGCAAACACAGCCGAGTATACATGTCAGGTGGACAGTGATTAGATAGGGCATGTTAAGGACACTGTGTGTACACTGAGGCATTTATCAAGTGCCTGCTATGTATAATCCTCACCTGAGTAATTCATCCTCACGTGTGTGCCCCACACTGTATGTGTAGGGTAAGAGCAAATGATAAATGAGTAAAACATTGTATGTGGGTCAGTCTGGATAAAGGTGTTCTTTGTGCTAGTCTTATTTTTGCAACTTTCTAATGATTTCACATAAAAAGGCTTCCCCCCCTTATCCTGAGCCTGTGGAGACTTCTCTCCCACGCCCATTCCTCACTGGGGCAGACAGGAAGCCCCAGTGGGTTCTCTGCTTTCACATTTGGGGACAGAGAACTACTTGGAACCAGAGATGAAAATGCATGAGCATCTCAGCCTTGTTGTTTTCTAGGAGATGGCTGCTGACCTGGAACAGGGCCCAGTGGTGCCCCATGGCCATGCTTGGTCTCGGGGACACTTCCTCTTCAGAATTTTCCACAGCCGGCTCCAGGCTCTTGCAGGCGGATGGGACATGGCTTCCCGCCTTCAGAGACAGCGGGAGCTACTCATGTACAAAAGGTAACAGCACTGGAGTCTGTCATTCATTTCAGCTCCCTGCGCCCCAGCCTGTGGTGGCTGCTTCTTGGGGTTCCATGGAGAACAGGGCCTGGAGATATGAAAAGCACTTGGGAGGAAAGCTTTCTGCTCAGACCCAAGATCAAATCATGTCAGCCGAAACCGGTTTGGCTCAGTGGTAGAGCGTCGGTCTGCGGACTGAAGGGTTCCAGGTTCGATTTCCGTCAAGGGCATGTACCTTGGTTGTGGGCACATCCCCAGTAGGGGGTATGCAAGAGGCAGCTGGTTGATGTTTCTCTCTCATCGACGTTTCTAGCTCTCTATCTCTCTCCCTTCCTCTCTGTAAAAAAAATCAATAAAATATATTTTAAAAAAAAAGAAGAAAAAAAAAGAACTCATGTCAAAATAAGGAAGGCCCTGTGTGCTCAGAGAATGAAATGCTGGAACCTTCCAGTTACTTAGATTGGTACCCTGCTTCTTAGGTAACTTACATTTTGGTTTTGAGTGTCTATCATAGGGTTCAGTGGCTCAGCCAGCCCCAGGCTGGGGACATTGGGGGCTGCAGACCACACTCTGGTTCAAAGAGTGAGTGGGAAAGGTCCTTGCAGCCCTGAGACCTAAGGTCTTGAGAAGCAAAGTTAAGTGATGCACTGCCTCTTCTCCAAGAATCCTTCTCGGACTCCCTCCATCTGTTCTTGTCGGCAACCCCCGGGCAGAACAACCAGCCACCCCTGACTGTGCTGAGTTCTTCCACTTGGTCAACTCTGAGTTGGTAAGTGCCGTGCAAGTTACCCCAGGGCACAGTTGGGAGGCGCGATCTGGTCACTCAGGGCTGGCTCCTGAATTCGTGAGTGTGTTGAGGTCACTTGGAGCTCTAGTAATTGCCATGATGCGGGTCCTGATGGGATGTGGAGCTGTGTTGGCTGGAGCTGGGTGTGCAAGCCCTCGCCCACCACCAGCACAGGCCAGTGAATGCAGGTGTGGGCGCCCTCCCTCCTCCACGGGACCGTCCCCGGCCTTGTTTGGAACCATGAAGGCTGCAAACCATTCGCTCACCATGCATTTCTTTCAATTTTTGATTCTTGAGTGATGCTGTGACCACAATGTCGCCTACCCGGAGGCTCCTTTTCCTTCCATTTTGCAGGTGGCTCACTGTCGGGGCCTCTGATCTTACTAGGCGGCTCAGTACGGTGACAAATGTGTCCCCTTCTCACTTCAGGGAACAGCTTCTACCCAGAGATATTTTTCTCGTTTTTGGAAAAGCACAGCTTTGACTAGAGATTGAACTAGGGCTCCATCTAGCACACACAGCTGCTTTCCTGTCTCACTGGGTACCTGGCCACCTGGAGGCCCCCTACCTACTGTGTTGGCACCGGAGTAGGCAGGCTGGGGGGATTGTATTGCTCAGAGAAGTGTGGAAAGGCAGTGAGCATGAGCAGCCCACCAGAGTCTATGGTGGTGCTGTGAATGGGCAGCTGTCTTCACACCTCCACCTGTCACACACCATCCTCATTCTCCCACCATTGGCTGCTCTCTCACTGACCTGTACTATTTTTCAGAGAAACTTGTGTTCCCGCGGAGGTGCCCTGACACACGACATTACCGTCCACTTCTTCAGGGTAATTCCCTTTCCCTCTACCTCCCACCTGGTCACACAGGAGCCTCGTGTCTGGTGATGCTGGGAAGCCACAGTGTCTTTCAGGGCTTGGGTTCACATGCAAACCGCTGAACTTCTGGCACATTCTCTTCTCTAGGGGCTCCTCCAGGCCTGTTTGCGAAGCAGAGACCCCGCCCTGACAGCCGACCAGATCCTGACTTCCTGTCAGACCGAATGCCCCTTGGTTTTAACCTCCGCTCTGGTAGGCCCAGCTCTCCTGCTGCGGGTGTTGTCTGTTTCCCACTAAAATTGCATCCCAGTTACTGTAATTCAAGAGGAAAAACTTGGGGAGAAATGGGGGCAGGGAGAGTATGTCAGGACACAGGTGGGTGACAGGTCTCCCTGGCTGCCACCCTGTGCCTGCTTCGGGCAGCATGGACCCCTGAAGTGTGAAAGAGCGGCCTTCCCTCCATGTGCCTGGGCATTGGCTCAGTCACCTGTCTGTGCAGTGTTGGCTGAGGCTGGACGGACGGTATCGGCCTGTGCTCTCCTGTGGGTGTAACGTTGTGTTTGTTGAATCTGCCATCTTGGCTGCTGTCTCAGGATGGAGAACAGTGGCTACATCAGCCCTGCCAATCGCCTTGGGTGCGTTACTGGCTGTCTTAGCACCCTGACAACCCAGCTTTCTCTCCCTTCATCTCACTGGTGGGATTCTGACATGTACAGTGTGGAACTTGAGCTACTTCACTGGCAATGGTGGCATTTCGCCTATAGCTCAGTGGTGGCCTACCCTGTGTTTCTCAGCGGGGATATTGGGGAACTGGCTGAGCTATTGGACAGTGTGGCTGAGTCCACGTACAGGCACCGGTGTAGGCAAGGCTTCTGGTTTCCAACCCATGTCCTTGGCACAGGCAGATGAGGGTACCCCACGGAACGGCTCTGAGCCTTCCTGAGATGGAGTACATGAGAGGTTGCCCATGACCTTCTGCAGTGATATATGTGAGCGGGCTGGGGTGGTGTCAGCTGCTGGAGTGGACATACCTCTCTTGCCTAAACCTCAGGGCCCTCATCTATTGATTTGTGACCTTTCTATCCGCCAGTTGTGGTGGCAGCGCCTAGAGCCCGAGCTTCTCTGTTGGTGGAGATGCTTCCAGAGCCCGCTGCCCCGAGAGCTGCAGAGGCTGCGTGACGCCTGGCGGTTTGCCAGCAGGTGGGTGCTGACAGTGGGGCTGGGGAGAAAGTGCTCTGGGTTATCTCCATGGATACCGTGGGGTGTTCATGGGGTGCCTTGTGGGCAGGTGCTACAGGACCCATATGAAAGGGGAGAAGGGGAGTGGCAGAACTGATCTGACAGGTCCCTGAGTGAGAATTCAGGGATGTTTTGGAAAAGACTGATTTCAGCCTAAGTTACCAGTTAAACCCTGCTTAAGTTTCTGGGCCTGAGTGACCTGGTTAACCAGCTCTCCTGGGACTGCTGGGCTGATGGTCTCCAGTATCCTGCTGGATGTGGGGTGCTGTGAGGTCATCAAAGGAATCTCGAGTCCCCAGCTAGCCACCTTTCATTTCTGTGACTTGCGTTTTTATCCCTGATGTGCACCTGTCTCCCTGCAGGGTCAGGGGTGCTCAAAATCTGTTCTGGAAACAAGGAAGGCAAGTCCTGCCCACCAACCTCACTCTACAGAGTAGATAGTACATTCCATCCCATTATGAATTTTCAGCCTGTTTTTCACCTGCCACAGAACCTTTCTGAGCAGCACCGCAGAGTAGGGTCCGAGCTCAGGCACTGGGACCAGTACCCTGGTCAGGCCCTACCGCACCTTGTGTCCAGGGCACAGGCATACTGAAAACTGAAACTGGACCCTAAACCAAGGATGAGCCCATGACAGGCTTGGGCTCTGCAGACTGTTCCCTGCCGACTCTGAACCCGTAGGCAGGTGGATCTGCACTGTGACTGTTTTGGGAACAAGGACCTTAGGTTTTCAGTGGTGACTTGATTGCCAGGCTCCTGTGATGACACACCTCTTTCTTCTTCCCAGCCTCCTGTCCCCCGACACAGAGTTCCCTGACACAGTGTCCCCCGCCCCGGGCCCGGCCTGGGTCTCCGCTGCTGCACTACACTTTGCGATTCAACAAGCTGGGAAAGGGAGTCTGAGGAAAGGCCTGGAGAGGCTGGGCTGTCCCACGGAGGAGGCAAGGACAGCTCTTCTCTCACTTTTCCTCCTAGCAGGCCCGTTGTCAGTGTTCTGGTCAGTGGTGTTTCTCAGCTCACCTAATGAGAACTTCCCCAAGCACACACAGACACAGGAAGTTTGGAGATTCTGACACTTTATTTGAAAGCAAAATTTGCTGGGTTTAAGATTTCATAAGACGTGGACTGTCGAGTTTATTAGTAAAAAGAATATCTTATTTTCATTTCTGAAGTCTTTCATTGACCTTCCTCTCATTCACATCACAACCCAGGGCAGGGCTGTCAACTGCCCAGTGGAACCTGGTGTCCGTCTCCACGGCCTCGGTTCACATGCACCAGTTAGGCACGGCCGAGACAGGGCAGCGGAGGGCAGGTGCTCCAAGTGCAGGCTGGCACCTTGAACTGTTCCTATTGGGTGTTGTGGGACCATCTGTCCCCAGGGCCCTAGAGGCCACCTGTCAGCTCAGCACAGGCCCAGCTGCTGGGCAAATGAATCAGTTGCTGAGCCAATGTATTTTTGGTGATTATAATTTAAAGTAAAAAACCTACAAATAAGATTCTTCCATGATTGTTTTTAGGTGGTTCTGTTGAAAGGCCTGGTGTACCAAGGGGACAGGACAGGGTCACAGAGGCGCCATCCTGCCTGGGTGTGCGTAGGGTCAGGGTCGGAGAGGCGGGTTGTAGCCTGTGGGTTTACCACCAGAGTTTTACAAACATTTCTGGACACAAAGCTGGGGAGCGAGGCTGAGCTGCACAGATGAGCTACCTGTGGTGGGGACACTCAAGCCAAGGAGACCCTGACAATAGCCTGGTTTAAAGACAGCATAAAAATGATCCACACAATTATGGAAAATTTTTCTTTCTGAGAAGATCCACCTAGAGGAAAAGTTTGTGCCCTGGGCCTGGAAGTAGTGATGAGGAATGCTGCATTCCACACCTAGGACTGTTCTGTGGGGACAGCACGGATGACTTCACGTTGCAAGTGTCCCTGTTTGTATTTGCAGCTACTGGTTGTCCTGTTTTTCTTTTCCTTGATGGGCCTGCTGTCGACACATCTGACCCCACCGGTACGTTATCCCTCATGCCTCGGGATTCTTCCCCCGATTGCTTGAAACTGCAGTCCTCAGGTGCCCAGGCCTCCTGGGTCAGGGTGAAGGGTGGAGTCTGCTCACTCGAGTAGAAGCTTCTTGGCCTTGGGTCCTCAATGTCTTCAGCACTTGGGCCCCAGGGTCCTTGGCCACCACCTCCTGCTGGAGTTCCTTCCATCAGACTCTCAAGCAGCACACTCTGTAACAAAGGCTCCCTTCTGTGAGGAGGGTCATCCCTCTGCCCATGTGTGCCCAGCTCTGAACCCGGCGGGAACATTCAGCTCTGCAGCCACTGCTGTCTGAGTGATTCCTCCTCTTCTGTGGGTCACAGGCTGCCAGCTGCCTGACGGCTTTGGACGTTTGTGCTGAGATCTTGGAGTATTTGGAGAAGAGGAAAGTGCCCTGGCTGCCGCTCTTTCAGTTGACAGAGACAGGTAAGAAACCCACTGAGACCTGACAGCAGATGGATGGTGGCCTGTGTCTCCTAGTCATCTGCCATGGGCTAGCAGCGCAGTTGACCTAACAGGGTCAAATTGTGACCCCTGACATTTGAGTCCCTTCAGAAGCAACTTTCAAATGGTTATCTTCTTGCAAAGCATATAAACCCCTACATTTTCACCAGGACAAAAGCATATAAAAGAATTTAGTGGAGCACCGAGGACCCCAGGAGGGTGGCACTGAGCTATCCTGTGGGGGTCCACCTGCCTGGCCCAAAGAGGTACACAAGATCCTGAAGACACTGGTCCTGGGGGACAGTGACCAGGGCTGACTGAGCCCCTTGGGTTGCAGATGCTGGCCTGGGTCACCTCCTCTTCCTCCTGGCACCGGACCAGCATGTAAGGCTGATGCCAGTCGCCTTCTACAGGTAACTCCCTGTTCTGGTCAGACCACATGCTGTCTGTTCCTCACAGGAGGAGCTCACACACCAGGGCCTTCCCTGGCCACGTTGGGTCTCCCTCCAGATGGCACAGGTGGCCTGGAACTTCCTGTGCCAACTGTACCCATCTCTGGGAGGTCTTGGTGTCACCTGACATCTAGTCTTACCACCAGCCTCCTCTCCTACTTTGACGAAGACGCGCTCACCCAGGACGATGCCTTCCTGCCCGTTGCTGTGGACATGTATCTGAAGTTGCTTTGCCTCTTTGTAGCCGGGGAGACAGGTGTACTCTCAAGTCTGGCCAGCAGGACCCAGGAGCTCCAGGGTCAGGCAGGTGAAAGGGTGGACTGTCCAGGCAATTGGCACATCTCACGGGTCTACATCCTACAACCCAAGGGGCAGGTGGCACATCCCACAGGCCCATATGGCAAACTCTCAGGTGATGACCCCTCCTGGCACACGTGTGGGCACCTGACTGTTGTTCTGTCTATTCTCTCTAGGGCTGCCCTGTTGGCCTGATAACTAAAGCTCGTCTTTTCCTGCTGCGATCAATACCTCGGTGCTCCAGAGCGAGCTTCTCTAATATGGCAGAGGTAATGCCCAAATGTTCACCATGGTGTTTGTTTATAAAGCCAAATCACTGTACAAGTGTGAGGATGCGGAAGTCCAACACTTGGCCACTTTTTCTGGTCAGTTCTGGTCACCAGCTTCCCTCCCTGTGCCTTGGTGTTGGGTCTGTGCTGCACTGAGCATGGTGTTTTCTTGCAGCTGCTGGCCACTCGTGGAGACTGTGACCCTGAAGTGAGTGCTGCCCTCCTGAGCAGGCAGCGGGCCATGCAGGACACTGGCCTCTCCCAAGAGCCCTGCCTCTTCTGACTGGACCTGCACACGCACTATTCCTTCGTAAATAACTTATTACGAGCATAATGTGGAGCTCTTGTTGCACGAAAAAGTGGATTACAAATCTCCGTGACTGCTTGTGTGAGGAAAAGGACTCAATTATTTAAAATTTATATCTGGCCCCAAGTCCATGTTTACAGGAAAATGAATTGCTGGTCCCAGAATGGATGCAGAAAGGCTACTCGGCCTTGCACTGAGCCCCCGCCTTCCAGCACAGGAGTGAGGTGCAGCATGGGGTCTGAGTGAGCCACGCTGTGCCTTCAGGTCTCAGGGGAGGAACTATGAAAGTTGTCCTTTGACCCCACCTACCACCTGCTGAGTTCAGGTGCTGAGCACCCTCAGGTGGGCTCAGGCTTCACAGCCTGACCCTCTGTGGTCCTGGGTGGTGGCTCCAGGGGCAGGGCCTTGTCTTGGGTCTGTGTCAGAGGATGGACCATGGACATATGTACATTAAGATTGTGAGCCTTCTCGAACCGCCGGCCACATTGGTCACAGGCAAAGTCCAGCTCAGTCTCAGCCTTGTGTTTGGTCATGTGGTACTTGAGAGATGCCCGTTGTCGGCACTGGAACCCACAGACTTCACACCTAGGGGACAAGGGAAAGTGAGCAAGGATTTGGGTGCCAGTGTGGCCACAAGGAGGCACCAGGCCACACTTACTGCAGAGGCTTGGCTCCCGAGTGCCGCATCTGGTGGACGAGGAGGTGTTTCCGCTGCTTGAAGGTCTGTCCACACTCATCACAGATGTAGTTCCGCACCTCTGAGGAGAGACAGGTGAGCACAGGCCCCAGAAGGCCCACCTTGCAGGCTTTCTACACTCAGTGCCCAAGCAGGAGACCTTGCTGACCTGATTTTACTCGGATGAAAGACAACTATCATACAAGTCGTTAGCAGAGCCCTCCAACCCATGTCTGGAGCTCCCTTAAATTTGCTGCATGTTGGAAGCCAGTTTTCTTAAACATCTTAGAAGGCCCTCTACATACTTGAGCACAGATTCTGAGAGGAAGCCACATCACACGGTCTCAGGCACTGCTATTCCACATTGGAGCACCCATCTTGGAAATCCGTTTCTTAGACTCTTGACCAAGAAACAAATGGTCAAACTATACGACCAATTCCGATCCTGGACAGTAGGTGTATGTCTGGTTCTTGTGTTTCCTGACGTGGGTGGTGTGGGTCACACCATGAAAATGATGAATCTGTAGCAGCCCAGGTTGTGACATGGAGAAGTAGTGGCCCTCAAGCTGACAGTGGTGGCTGCATCTGAGCTTTTATGTCTCACCATTTCTACAATGCATGTGGCTTCCTCTCATCCCAAAAGCATGATGTTTTTTAAAATTTAAAAACCCACCACAATATATGCACAGAAGGACACTGGGATTTCTTTGCTGCCAATTCCACACTGACCAACTGAGCTGACTTGACAACACTGCAGCCCACAAGGCCCATGAGGGGGTCAGGGCATGCACCTGTGTGGATGAGCTTCACATGCCGCTGTAGGTAGCGGTCAATCATGAACACCTTGTTGCAGCCAGGGTGGGGACAGGGCCTCTCGCGTACTTCTTCGTGGTGCTCCTTTATGTGTTTCTGCAGAGGAACAGCGAGGCCCTGATTGCTGGGCTGGGCATGGACAGCAGCTCACCCAGCACGCAGCACGTGCCGCCAGAGGCCTGTGCACCACCCTCGAAGGGACAGATCCCACCATTCCTCACTGAAGACAGGTGCTTTGCCAAGAGCAAAGGCTGGTGCATCCTCCCACGGAGCATGGCAATGGTGGGTCTACTTCACATCTCCATTTCCCCAGGTTGACAGCACCCTTGGGTGAATCTGGACCTGACACCTCCCCCTGCTCCTGTAGACTCCTGCCCTGGTTTCAATAGCGCCTTCCTTACCTTCATGCCATCAGCCCCTCGGTACACAGCTGTGCAGCCTTGATATGGGCACTTGTAGATGGTGGGCAGCTCCTCCCTAAAACACAGGGCACCATGGAGCTGCCGCCCTGGCTGCACACCAGGCAGCACAGCCCACACCGGCCTCACCTTTCACAGCGGAGCTTGTTCTTCCAGCCCGGCTTTGGTCCAGGCTTCTTCCGGATTTTTGGTTCTTCGGGCTTCTTGGCCTCTTTGCTTCCATTCTTTTTACCAGAGACTCTGGGGGGCGAGGGGGAGAGAGAGTAGATCAGATGCAGTGATGTGTCTGACTCTGTACATGGGTCTCACTTTCCTTCATGTTCTCCGACATGATTCAGCTTCAGGGCTAGCCTGCTTCAGTCTATATGCTAACTGGGTGCCATGAACAGGACTCTCAGCCACCAAAGCCAGAACAACTCAGGAGGTGGATGCCCAGTACTGCCCCCCTGACTACAGGAGTGGGTTTTAGGACTGAAGTCTTACTCCTGTTCTAAATATAAAATCAAACACTGGAGACACCGTGGAAAATGGTGGCATGCAGAAGCTTTAGGGGTCAGCCCCTGGAACAAAACCACCATTGAGCTAGAAAAAAAGATAGATTCAATAATTGTGGAACTTTGGACCCTGATGGGAGACTCACAGCAACCTAGGTCCTGAGGGGTAAGTGCTGTCTCTCGGAAGAGTGCTCTGTGTGCTCCACCAGCTGCCACCCCCTTCAACTCTGCCACTGGGGCCAAGCGGGCCATGAGGACTTAGTGTGGGACCCGTAGGGTCTGTTAAAAGTTTAGAGAACATACTTGTTTTCCTTTTTGGACCCAAACATTTAAGGAACTCGGTCAGCAATGAAAGGGAGCCCTGGCTGGTGTGGCTCATTTGGGCATCATCTGTGTACCAAAAAGTTGCTGGTTGATTCCTGGTCAGGGCACATGCCTAAGGGTGTGTGGGAAGCAGCCCATTAATGTTTCGCTCTCAAATTGATATTTTTCTTTCTCCCTCTACCTTCCTCTCTAAAAATGAAAAAAAATAAAAAATTAAAAAATTAAAAAATATATATATATATATATACTTTTTTTTTTTTAAAAGGGGGGGTCTGTAATACTTCTCAACAATAAATGTTATAACTAAAATAAAGTTAAAAAGAAATAGAAGGGAGCATCTGGGGCCATATGTGACTAGCCATAGCTGACATCATCCTCAATGGTTAGAGACTGAAAGTTCCCTCTGAGATCAAGAAAATAATACTGGATATCCCAGCCAGAGAGATTAGGCCAGAAAAAGTAAAAGCCATCTAAATTAGAAAGGAAGGAAAATGATCTTTATTCACAGATGACATGATTTTATATGCAAAAAACCCTATAGAGTCCCCATACAAAATAAATTCAGCAAAGTTGCAGGGTGCAAAATCAGCACACAACACCAGTCCTGTTTCTACATGCTAACAACAGACAAAGTACTTAGAAGAAAACAACAGTAAATCTTCATGATCTTGGATTTGTCAATGGTTTCTTAAATATGACACACAAGCAAAGACAGCAAAAGTAAAAATAGGTAAACTAGACTTCAAAATTAAAACTTTTGTCCACCAAATAACATGACCAAGAGAGTGAAAAAGATAACCCACTGAATAGGAAAAACATAACAGCAAAAAGACAACCCAATTACAATATAGGCAAAAGATTTGAGAGGCATTTCTCCAAAGAAGATATAAACATGAACGTGGCCCTGGCCAAGCAGCTCAGCTGGTTAGAGTGTCATCCTGGCACGCAAAGGTTACAGGTTCTATCCTATAAGATCCATTAGGACACGTACAAAAATCAACCAATGAATGCATAGGTAAGTAGAATAAATTGATGTTTTTTTCTCTTAAAAAAAAAAAAAGCAAGTGAAAAGATGCTCAACATCACTAATCATTAGATAAATGCAAATTAACTTCTCACCCATTAGAATGACTATATCAGTATTTAGAGCATTATTCACAATAACCAAAAGGTGAAAACATCTAAGATGTGGTTAAGCTCTGAACAGGCTATATGGTAAATCTCAAAAGGAGCCAGTCACAAAAGGACAAATATAATTCTACTGAGATCTCTAGACGAGTGGTTGTCAGGGCCTGGGGGGAGGAGGGAAGTCATTGCTTAATGTGTACAGAGTTTCTGCTCAGGGTGATGAAAAGTTTGCAAATAGCGGTGATTGTTGCATAACATTGTGAATGTACTTAATGCCACTGAACTTAAAAATGGCAAACTGTCTTTTACCACAAATTTTAAAGAAGAATTGTAATTATCCTCCCTTTAATGAGAATATTAAAATAACCTTTTTGATGACTACACAGGCTTCTCTCCTTGTCTCAAGTCTGTGCTTTGAATCTGGCTGTGTGTCTCCTGGTCGCTGGCCTTTACCCTCTTCTCAGTGGCATGGGCACCTCTCAGCTGCACTGACAGGTAATTTGCCATTTCCCTCCCAGCCTGGACTACATTTGCAGAGAGAGGAGGCTTCAGGGAGCCTGTGGGTTTTAGAGGTGGGCAATGGGGGGTGGGAACCTCAGGGCTACACACTGATTGATCTCTCCCCAGGGCCGCCTATAGTCCCTATGACAATAGTGGGTTTCTCTGTAACCCACGTCAGAACTTAAAGGAAAAGAACTCGTGACTGCTTCTCAATCTGCCTCTGCGTTTTCTTGGCTGATGGTTGTGCTTGTTTTCACTGCTGTGAAATCCTAAAGGACAGCGCCCATATCAGGCATCGACAACTGCAAGGATCTGGGGGTTCCTGGACACAGTGTTGGGAAGAAAGTGACACAAGTAAAAATCGTCCCTTCCTGCCAGGACCCTACATTCTACCAGCAGAGACAAGTCCTTGAAAAGAGGTCAACACAAGGTCGTTAGACGCTCCTCAACAAGGAAGTGGCATAGAAATCAGTGCCCAAGGCAGAGCTGCAAACAAGTGCAGGGCTTAGTCCAAACCCAGAGACTCATCACCAAGAGCAAGAAGAAAGCAGGAATCAGAGGCTGGCAGAGTGGTGTGGCTGTGAGCAGGACTGGCAGGGGGAAGGCAAGGAGCTTCAAAATGAGGCTGGGTCATGCCCACGGAGCTCCTGCCACCCTCCCCTGGACATCAGCTGCCTCACGAATGACACTGAGGCCAGGCCCAGAGCTGTCCTGGGAAGGGCCTCTGCTCACTCAGAAGCCACACTGCCCTGGACTTGGCAGGCTGACCCAAATGTGCGGGGAGCACAGGTGTGGCGTCCAGTTCCCCGATGGACAACAGCCCCGGGCCTTGCACCAAGTCCCACTTACTTCTTTTCCGGGTAAGGCTCGAAGGACTCATCTGAGGACTGGGTGTTTTGCTTCTTGTCATTGTCGTCTTCACTCAGGAAGTCCCTAGGACAGAAGAAAGAGCCTTTAGCAAGCTCTGCGCAGGTGACAGATCCGATGCGACTTCCTGCCTGGACACCACACAGATCCCCATAGTCCATGTTTTAGTTCTGAAAGATTGAAAGAAACCTGAAACCCCCCAATCTCTATCCCATCTCCTAACATGCTCTCCTCACATAAGGACCCCAAACTCGGAAGGCACCTCTCCAAGGAGGCCCCAGGCGGGTGCGAAGACCCCACAGGTGGTGAGCTACTGAGTAAGTGGACGCTCAGAACATCGCCTCACCCCAGGAGCACCTGTCCAACTGACAGGTCAGCTGTCAGCCATTTCAAAGGTTACAAAGGCCAGAAAAGGCTCTGTGCCTGTAACCTTCGCCCTGAAGTATGAATCACTGTTCACTCTGTTGGCTTGCCATGGCCTTCCCCTTTGGCCGCTGCCACCCGTAAGACAGCCCCCGGCCACTCCAGTCCCAGGGGTGTTTCTGGCACATGCCCTCATTGGTGCACTAAAAACGGTTCTACTCTGTGGACAAGGGTGCATCTGCCTTCTAGCTATAGCTTGCAGGGTCCTGGCTCAGCGGCAGGGGGTGGCCCAGGAGCAGACAACCCAGTCACACACATGCCATGACAAAGGGCCAGAAGCTGCGTTCTCTGCTCTAGGAAATGTGGGGTCAGCACAGAACTAAGGCCGGAAGAAGACAAATGGCAGCAGAAGAGGGTGCCCAATGGACCTCCCAGGAGCTCCGCACACGCAGGTCCTGCTGCCTGGTGGCTGCATCTGCGGGGGACCCGCTGGGACCCAGAAAGCCCCTATCAGGGCTGAGAAGCCTGGAAGCACCCCTGGCCAGGACATGGACAGCGAGCCCCCAGGATGTAGAGTTTGGTTTTCCAAGGAGAAATTTTAGGCTGTTTAAACCCACTCTTCTCTCACCCCTCAGAAAGGTCACTGAACTCGTCTTTTACCCGATCATCCGAGGATGAAGACGGAAACTGCTTCTCACCCAACTGCCCTGAGAAACAAAGAACAAGGCTCCTGTTACCAACTGGTGCGTAGGCAGAGCTCTCAGCAAGGAGTATGGCTGTCTGACGACAGGGCTTTCCTTGTGGTGAGCCTGGGGTCCCCCAGCCTCAAACCCCACCCACCTCCCAGCTCCATCCCCCGCAAGGTCCCAACACTGCCAAGCTCACAGGCCACCCCTGCGTCCAGCACGGGCAGCACTGAGCACCTGATACCCAGCGACAGTCACAGCTGCCGACCTCCTCCCAGAGGTTCCGATCCAGCTGTTGCAGGGTAGGACGACTCACACACCGTGAATGTTCAGGACATTTAAAAACATCCCTGTTATCAAGTGTCGCACACACAGTGTAAATAGCCGTGCAGCCCTAAGGGTCCTCCGCACAGTCTCCGCTTCCTCCAGCCTGAGCATCTCCCTCTCCAAGCCATCCTGGGAGTGGCGCTTTCTGAAAGGACTCACACTCGGGCCGAGCGCCCATTGCAGACAGGGCACACGTGGCAGCTGACAGGCAGGAGCCGGCCTGGCCCAACGTGATGTCCCTGAACAACCACCACCCCAACGGCCTGTTTCCCCACCGCGCAGCAAAGGAGCCTGTCCACACTGGTCCCACTGGGGAGTCACTAGGGTGCTGGCTGAGGCCCAGGGAATGACCCAAACAGCCTCAGAGGCACAGCTGTCCTCTTCCCCCACACCCTGCGACAAGGCCCCATTCTTCCTCCCTCGTGCCCGGGCCGGAGCAGCCGGTGAGGGGATAGCAGAGGAGGGCCTCACAGCGAGCACGGGGTCTGGCCCTCCCTGCCACCCGATGCCCACAAGACTCAGCCAGCACTGCCCACAGGCTCAGACATCCACTTCCT